TGGGGCTTTGAGCAACCTGGGCTAGTGGGAGGTGTCCCTGCCCATGGAAGGGGGGTTGGAACTAGGTGATCTCTAAGGTCCATTTGAACCCAAACCATTCTATGCTTCTATTATTCTCTGATCTCCACGCATATTAAAATTCTTAAATCATATGGAAAACATGCTATTGGGTGTTCGGAGCCCAAATGCCTCTGTGGATATGGACTGTAAACACTTCAATCTTAACTAGAACAGAGCAGGTGCTCTGATTCCCAACGTCACTGCAAAAATGAAATGGCAGTGGGAGATGTGGTACCAAGACAGGATTTTTCTTTGGAAATTAAACTTAAGTAAATTTCAGACTTTTTTCAGGTGCCAGTTCTTTGCAATATGTATATGAAGGCTCAGCATATGATTAGAAAAAGACAACATGCTCCTCCTGGAGCCACTGTGGTTAGGGTGACGGAAATGTTGTAAAGAGAGAATCTCACCACCTTCAGTAGTGGAAACTAGAGAATCACAGCTCACAACACCCTGCCAAGGAGAGGCAGGAAACATGCGCTGGTCTGAAAACTGCTGAGCAGTTTGCTTTTGGAAAATGTGGGTCTTTTTTAGTGTCATGCACCAGCAGTTAAAATACTTGTACTAGGTTCAGTTTTGTTTTCTATCTAAGAGTGTCCAAATCTGCATCTTTTGCTTTCCAGCAGAACTTCCTAGCTGCCAGGTTAAAGGCTGCCCTGGGCAAGAATGTCTTTGCTCTCCTTCCGTACCTGGCAGGTGTAGAGAAGAGTGATTTTTCCCACCAGCAAAAAGCACGTTATTTTCCATTAGAGAGCGTAGGCTGGAAAGGAAGAGAGTCCAAGTAATTCTGCACAGATTAGAGATCACAGGGAAAGGGAAACCCAAGAATCCAATTCCTGCTTAAAAAAAAAAAAAATTGTTTTCTGCATTTTTGCTAACAACTTCTTTGGACTTAGGCCCTGTAAGCTCTATGTCTTGACACTTAAGAAAGGTGAAGAAGTGATTGCTGATACCTGCTTAGAGCTCTGTGAAGACAGAGGTACTTTTCCTGGAGAAGGAGAAGGCTGTCACTCCACTTATGGAACAAAAAGACAGATTGCTGAAGAGGTCAGCCCTTTATGTATGTCTATTATGTAACATTTTAGGAAAATATTTGGTAAAGCACAGGTTCATTTTACAGCAGCTGTGCTCCCAGTTGCAAAAACGTAGACAAGTACAAGAACCTCACTTCTGACCATTCCTCAGAAATCCTACTCCTGTAGGAAAAGCATGGAAAACTGCACATCTCTCAGAAATAAGGAGCTGACCAGCCTAAAATGAGCCTGGACTACCTTATCTGTGAGTAAAGTAGGCTCAGGAGAGGAAGGCAGTGGTTCTCCATCAGCCTTGCAGAGCTGTGGGAGGGGAGCAGATTTCAGCACTATTGCCCAAGCTCTGAGGAAGGTCAGGCTCTTTCCTGGTGGATTTTTATTCTCCCAAGTTACTTTTTTATCATGTATCCATTTCTGACCTTCCCTCCTTCCCTCCCAAATGTTGTTTGTTTCAATCCCCTTATGCTTGCTATTGGCAAGCAGGTACAGAAGTTTAACTTTCTGACTTTCCGGAGCTGCAGACAGTTGTGTTTATACTTTATGCTAACAGCACCTCTGTCAAACAGAAACTGCTCCTGCTTAATGCCAAGCAGTCCTCAGTGAAGAGATTACACATGTAAAAGGAATGAGAACAAGGCTGAAAACCCCAGATTAATGCTGAGTAAGAAATCCCCTTCTGTTTTGTGAGTCCTCCTTGCTGGGAAAAACCCTGCTTTCGTAGCTGTCAGATTTTGCTAGCTCTAACTAGCAAGCAGACTCTTCCAGTGCTCTTCCATCCTTTTCCAGAGACATCCTACTGTACCTGACTGCCTTCTCTTGATACTTTTCTCCCTGCTTAGTTTCTGATACCTGTATATTTCCTTACTAGGATGCATCTTTTCTGTTTCAAGGTATCTGGATCTGCTTTACCTTTAAGAATGCATCATCACATATTTTGTCTAGACTTTTATACGTGCATCAACCTCCAAAGTGCAATTGCTGACCATTTTCTAAAGCCTTTGCCTAACTGGTTGGCATGCTGGATTTGGGCAAAGTGTCTGAAACACATAAATGACTGACGCTGTATTGAGAAAGATGGTTGTTTTTAAAAATGCTGAAGCATTTCCTAATGCTATAATAGATTCAGGTAAGGAAATATTTGCTTTTAAAAAATGTGTTACAAGTCCCCTCAAGTGCAGCAGTTTGGAAATTTGTAAGTTTATTTTCCCTATTTGTATTAATGGCTCTTTTTTTTTTTATCAAAGAGCGCCTTAGGTTAAATCTAAGTAAACCACAGAAAAGGTCAATATTTTTTTCCCAAACTTTTCTGGAGGACAATTAACTTAATATTTTAGCAGCTGGCAGCTGCAGTAATTACTTTTAGATTATACTTAAAGTCTGTTGGAATCTAATTACTCTGATTGATGTACCAGGTAATTAAGGTAAAAACTCTTACATTTGCTTAGACCTCATTAATGTATTTCCTTTGAAAATTGTTAGCTAATAACAGTACATTAAAAGTTTATCCATAAAATGACAATGAATAATTAAAACCTTTGTCCCAGGACATTAAAGGACAGAATAGTATTTAACTGCTCAGTGTCTTGATGATTATTTCTTCATTTATAGTGCAAATACCATGCAAGTTTGGGACGTGTTGTAGTTTAGACCTGGCTGGCAGCCCAACACCATGCAGATGCTCACTCACCCTGCCCCGTCGCATGGATGGGGGAGAGAATTAAAGGGGTAAAGGGAAAAGAGACTCATGGGTTGAGATAAGAACAATTTAATAACTAACCTACAACAACATTGAAAATAATAATGATAATAATGATGATAATAGTAATATATACAAATATGCAAATGAGTGAAACTACTCACCATTCCATGACCAAGGCTCAGCCTCTTCCTGGCTAATGATCCCAGAGCATGGAGAGTACTGAAACTGCAATCCTGGAAGGGAGGCAAGATTCCGACTGTCTGAGAGACCGAGAGCCAACCAAGAGAGTGAGAACTGACCCCGAGAAAGGGGTAACCCAGAGAGAGAGAGAGAACTTCCAGATAGATCCTCATCTCTATACTGGGCATGACGTGCAGGATACGGAATATACCATTGGCCAATTTGGGTCTCAATCCTAAACCTAAGGTCAAATCCTAGGCTAGTAATTGGGGCTGTGCTCCCTCCCAGCTTCTCCTTGCACCTGCAGACACTGACACAGCAGAGAAGCTGAAACATCCTTGACTGTCCTGGCAGCAACTATAAACATCGGTATGTCATCAGCCTTCTCAGCAGAAATTCAAAACACAGCCTCACGCTAGCTACAGTGAAGGGAGTTAACTCTGTCCCAGCTGAAACCAGGACAGGGAGAATGGACCAATCAAAGTGTGAAAGTGGCATGGAGAGACACAAATAATTTTATTTTATTTTCCTTCATTTACTTGGTATCCAGCTAATAATTCAGGAGGTGTAGACTCCTGAGGAGCTAGTGTTTCTTCTTGCTGCCTGGAGCTGGACTAGCAGTACAAAGAGACACCAAGGGCACACAGCAGCTGGCCATTTCCTATGGAAAGCGCTGATGGGTGTAGCATCACTTTTCAGGCTGACGATAGGCTCCCTTGCACATTCTTGCAGGCGTGGGTGACACTCCGCAGCCGCTGCAGCCAAAGGTTTGGGGGCTGCTCCCCACCCCAGGACTGCGGCTCCCCCCAGGGCACCACCTGCGGTGGGAGGGTGTGCTTAAGGGGAGCCCCAGAAAGTGCCTGCTGGAGGGGCTCTGCTGGAAGGGCTCTTGCTCAGCTACTACTGAGGTTATGACAGCTTCTTTCAGTCACTCTGGTGCTGGGGGAAAAGTCCAAATCTCACCCCTGACATCCATGGAAAACCTTTGACTGTTGTATGTGTGTCGGTAAGGCAATCATTACAATAGCTATGAAAGTATTTGAGTGCAACAGAGGAAACTGTGCTCCAGCAGAGGAGTAAGTGGCACATGCCTTTCTCCTTCTGAGTGAGGGGTATGGGACAGAGTTACCAACTGAAATGCTAGATGCAACCAAAATGGTGGGGCAGACCTAAAATGGTGGCAAAGCAAAGGTGCTTTCCCTTATTTTGACTTATGCTATTTAGGGGAAGTTTTCGTAAGGATGGAGGATCCAAGTCAGCAGATTCTCTAAGAAACTTTAACCCATGTCTGCCTCCATGATCCCTGTCCCACTTCCCCCCAACCTCTGATGCCAAGTTATTACAATTAATACCCAATATGTGTCATCACCCAGAAGACTAGGATCAGCACTTGGGTCTGAGGGTGCCAGGAGCTGGGTGCGCAAACAGTGTGAAAGCATCTCTTCCTCAGTAATCAAATCTAACATATGACATGCTGCAACAAGGGTTAGGCATGGGGGAATGGAAAAGCAACCTGTGGCTATACAGGCTACTTAGTCACATAAATTGATAGATAGATAGATCAATCTTTTCTTGAGGTAGGTGAAATGAATCCAATACCAGAAATCTCTTTTGGTCATGTAAGAGCTGCTACAGAATAAGCTTATTTGCTTCACGACTTGTCAAGACTGGCTCCATAGTACCCCATGAGGTACTTGTTGCAAAGCAGCATACTGAGGGAATCCATCTGTACTCAAGTATGTAATCTGAAAAGCCTGAAAGATTCAAATTTAATTGCAGCTGGTCTGCAAAATAGCAACTCTGGTGGGAAACAGTCAAGGCATTGGTTTTGGATCAGAACTTCAAAAAAAAAGGTTTCTGATTATCATCTGTTAAACCATCAAGGAAATAAGTAATTACATATCTGGTAGGATCCCTGTATGCAGGGGAAAAAGCCAGTCTGAAACAGAATATAATTTGCCTTTATTAATTTTGACTCCAATAATGTTACATTATTTATAAAGTCCAAAAAAGTAATAAAGTAAAATTTTCTGTGAGGCCTTTTATTTATCAAGAATTGAATTAAATAAATGAGTTAATTAGGAAAAATAAGGATAAAAATATTGATTCAATATGAGAGAGACACACACATGGCTAGTCAGGAAATCCTACTGTAAGAAATTACCAAGGCCAGATTACCAGACACATATCTGCTAAAAGGTTAAATCAATCAATGTTGGAACTGCTTTTTCTCAAGAAACTGGGCACTGTCAAATCAGCTCCTTTCAAATCATTATATATTCCCACTGGGTCAAACTTCTGGCTTGAAGCCAAATCTCCAATCAGTTCTCGGCCCATTTTTCTTCCTGCTTCGGTAGACATAGCCTTTTGCCAGAGCTTCAGCAACAATCCTCCTTGGAAAGAAACACGACATGACATTGTCAAATTAACATGGAGCACATGCAGCTCGTGGCACACAAGGGACAAAGTGCATGTCTGACAACAAACACCCACTGTCCTCTGGACAGTGAAAGGTAGACAAAGCTGGAGCGTGCTGATGGGGTAATAATTGCCTACAAATGTGTAGGGAGAAACAGGCCATTCATCCAGCTCAGGATTCATTGTATTGACAGACAACTGGGCTTGTTCTCTTGTCACCAGTGTTACAAGTCAAAATGATTGAAGATGCATGTTAAGGTCTTGGTCTGTAATTGCACATAGCTTCATGGCTTATGAAGCAGTAGCCTGGTAGTTATAATCATGCACATCTTTGTTTTTACTCTAAAGCAACCAAGAATTTGTACTTTTTGCCAGCTGAAGCCTCAAGCTAGCAAATGATCCTAATGCTTTCAGCCAGGCGATAAGCAGTGGCTCTCTAGCAAGTGTGCCTGGCCAGTGCAGCGTTAGCATCAGTTTGCAGAATAGAATTTGCCTGCTCCCCACTCCTGTCAGTGCTGATTCCATGGTGGATAAAGGGTCCACAGAGGAAATCTGAGGGTAAAAAAAAAAGTCTGCTAGGAAACCAAGAGGAGTTTATTCTCCTGCAAAACATGCTTTTGTATAAAACTGGCAACAGCGAAGAACTGAATTTGCATAGTATTGTACTGGGGAGATGAGGAGTAAAGAGGAGAATGCAGTAAACAGTCCTCTTGCTTAGGAGGACTGCAGGAAAGCTGAGGAGAGCAGGAAAGGTCTCAAATAAGAAGGCATCTGCTGTTCTGCCTTCAGATATCAGTGAGGGGCAGAGCATACAAAGTAAAGCTTCTGGCTATCCATGATTCAAGAAGCTTTAGAGGTAGCACAGCACTCTCACAATAGACGTCCCTGCTGGACTGGCAGAGGCAGCTAGAGGAAAATAAAGAGCAATCAAATTCTGAATCAAGAAATCAAGTCTCACTCTAGGTTGGACAGAGTCCCATCCTAAGAGGTACCTGAGGCCCTCTCTCTGCTGTTGAAGTTTGCAGCACCAGAAGAGGACTCCACATCTCATAGGGTATATGTAAAAGTTTGAGGAATCTGACTCTACAAAAACAGCATGTCACATTCTGTCATGAGTTTAGTTGCAAGAAGATCTAGTGTTTCAGGTCAGGTCCTTTCTAAGGCTGTGGATCCAGATTCAAGTCAAATTTAGCTTGGAACCCCTTTTCTGATCTGCAAATCCGTTACCAAGTTGAGTTAGCTGGCATTTAACTCTCAGCTGAATGCAAAGCCCATCCCTTCAAAGCAGAGTCAGGGAAATCTGCAAAGCAAGGGATTTCAGCTATGGACTTCATTATAGCTGCACCTGCATGAAACTTCTTCATCCCTCTCTTTCCTTTCCTCTACCGTATTTAGCATCTGCACCTCTTTTCCTCTCTCTCTCCAGTGCTGCCTTCATCTGCTCTGCTGCCCTGGCACTCTCCCTCCCTGCTGCCCAGCTGGCTGGCTTTTCCTTGCTGAGTCCCTCTCCCCTCCTGGAGGTAGGGCAAGAAACCCTGAGCTGTGGCATAGACCACCGGGCATGGGATAGAGCTGTTAAGATCCTTATTCAGACTTCAAGGAATAACAGCTATATGGAAGGTGTGAGGGAAGCACTCTGTGGTGTGAGGATGCTCTTTTGTAACACCGAATAGCCTCATTACGCATCTTTTTTCAGCTACAAGTACAACTATCAAGAGAATTTTCACCGAAATGTATAGACAGAAGAATAATATCACAGAACAATGCCATAGATCTGGATACTAGTTTTCCAGTGCATTTTAATATTGTGTTTTATTTTAAAGATTAAAAATAACTTTCCTTCACAAAGAACAAACAAAGAGATCCAACCCAGCAACACCTACGAATGAACAATCTCAGAAGCGTGTAATTCTGTGTTTCACCGCTGGATGGTGATGCACAACTTCTTTTAGTGAACGTGATGAAGCCAGCATTGTCTAAGAACACAGTTTTGCTGGGCAGGTGCTATTCTTCTTGCTAAACCAAAGATTGGGACAAAAACAAAACCAGAACAGCTGTGGACACACAAACCCCTTTTCCCATTTTTTTGTAATGACCTCTACTGATCTACACAAGTGTCTGTGTTTTTAAAATTCCTGTGAAAACTGGAGGAAAAAAAAAAAAAGCAGGATCATCTGCTCCAACAAATGATGCATTTGTCTCATGTAAAATCCTCACTGCATGTCATTGGTGTTATCTCATTGCTGCATTTGCTCTCTGGTGTGTGGTTTGCTTATGGTTGTATTTTTATCTGCACTGCTTTACTGTTAGTCTCTAGGAAGTGTTTATGTTATTTTATACTAAAAGTCATGGTGTTCATATGGAGAAAGGTATAGAAAGAGAGAACGAGACATTAAATACCTATGGACTGCAGACATTTGTGTGTTGGGCTCATACCTGTTAGTTGATTTGCTTTGTGAAGAGCCTTCATTGAGAGCAGGACTCTATTTTGCTGTGGACTGAAATCACAGATGAATGGGAGGACATCCCCTTCAACAAGCATCCTCTGGGGCAGGAAAGCCTGAAAGTTGTTTGTGGTTGGTAAATCTGTATGGAAGTGTGTGGCTGCGATGAAATCTACAGCACTAGCCCAGTCTTCACCGAAATTTGCTTCTGGATCACTGAGATATTTTAAGCTGAAAGAGATCAAAATAAAAATGTAACAGAAAATTGAAATCCCCTGTAGAACACGTAGTTGATCAGTTATCCCAAATGTGTTTTGTTCAGTATAAAATCCTGAGTGGTCTCAGTGCCACAGTAACTTAAAGCCTCCTTCAGCGCTTTACACCTAATTCATCCTGGCACTGCTGCCTCTGCCCCATCTAAACACAGCTCCTGACTTGAGCCCTGGCTCTCAGAGAGGAATCAGCATGTCGTTTTAAGCCCACAGCCTGCCTGCCTGTCACAGCCTGGGCAGCCATCTCTCGTGGTCATCCCGTGCTCTGACAGAACAGAACGAAGAGCAAAGCCTAAAAAGTAGAGGCCTAAAGTAAGAAAGCTCATGCAGACTTTTTTGCAATACTATCCTTTTAAGGAGATGTACAGAGGGGAAGATATCCCCTTGGCCATCTCTTCTGTCCCCATACCTGTCCTGGAACTTGGGCAGTGCATAAGCAATGGAGGCGACGTGTGCCCTCCACATGAGACCGAGGGCATCATCCAGTTTGAAGGAGAAGGTTGCAGGGCTCTCGGCTTTGTGTTCTGCAGATAACAGATACTGCAGCAACAGGGAGGAAAAAAGGCAGAGAAACAGGGGGGAGGTTTAAACACAATGAATTTTTCAGATGTACGCTCAAACCTCAAAAAAAAAAAAAGTTTGCAATCTAAGGAAAATTGCTTTTGCATAGTTAGAATGTGCTGCTTTGTAAGTAACTATAATGTCTGACATAGGGAGAAGAAGATGATTAATATAGGTTTATGAAGTTAATACAAATCCCCACTGAAGTTAATTGGAGTTGCCATTCTTTGACTTCAACAGAGCAAGGGGTTTATCCACCTAATTTAGGTAATCGGTCACAATAAATCAGTGGACTTTTGTATCTGAGTGCCACGGAAAATTCTGTGCTGAAATATTGGATTCCTTGAAAACCTGTTTATACTCTTTCAGACACAAATTTCTGAAGATTTTCAGAAAATAAGAAAACAACCATTAATAGTTATCCTTATGGCTATTTGAGAAGTAGATCTTTTATAACAACTTCTGAAACATTCTGCATAGGAAAAAACAATCTTAAGAAAATAAATACAGTTGTGCCCTAAAACCTCTACCTTCACTCACAGTTGCCAAGAGGGACTTCTGGTTTAAATTTTCTGATCATTATCAATAGTTTGACTACTAACAAAATATGTTGAATATAGAAGTCTATCTACAAAAATAGTTATTGGATCTATGAAGTTAGAAATATTGTCATTTTGGGGATTAGGGAACAGCTGAATGAGGAGGAAAGAGAATATCTACTTGCATAAATAAGTCTCTCTCTGAACGAGGTTTAAGCATTTTCAGTTCTTCAGATATTCAAAGGAATAAATGAACCCTATAAAACCAACTTTCACTGTATATTATGCTTTTCATTTTTTCTGCTTGTTACTTTTATAACAAGCTGTTATTGAAAGCAAACCAAGCTCTCTGAATCTTACAAGTAACAGTAATAATAGCTTTTAAAGATAGTATTCTGGTATAATTTCCTACAAAATATGAAAAAGAAAGTAAAATTATTTACTTCAAAATAGGCCTTCCAGTCATCCATGAGCTTGGGAATCCGAGACCAGCAGTCAGCAACACTATAGCAGAAATCAGTTCTTCGCTCCTCTGGTGGCAATATCTCTATCTCGTACTGCAGCTGCCCAAAGAGGCCAGCCTCCACTGCCCCCAGAAAGGGTATGACAGACAGGTAGTAATTCATACCTGTATCAATAATTAAAAAGGAGGAGGTGTTAACCACAATCAAATGAAAAATTCTTGCAAACAAAAATGAACACTGTCCCATACCAAATGCAGACATTTCAAATCGCCACCGATACCACCATGTTCAGCAACAGGGCATATGTACTGAAATGCACTAATGACAGTATCTGTATTGATTGAGACATAGAATCGCAGAATCATATAATGGTTTGGGTTGGAAAGGACCTTAAAGATCATAGAGTTCCAACCCTTCTGCCATGGGCAGGGAGACCTTCCACTAGACCAGGTTGCTCAAAGCCTCATCCAGCCTGGCCTTGAACACCACACATAGATATAGAATATAGTTCTTGTTACCTTAACATCCTTGGCCAGATTTAACTCTATCAGGGTTTTAGCTTTCCTAACCTGATCTCTGGCTTCTTGGACAGTTTCTCTGTATTCCTCCCAGGCTACCTGCCTTTACTTCCACCCTCTATAGGCTTCTTTTTTTGCATTTAAGTTTATCCAGGAGTTCCTTGTTCATCCATGCAGGCCTCCTGGCATTTTTGCCCAACTTTCTCTTTGTTGGGATGCATCATTTCTGAGCCTGGAGGAGCTGGTCCTTGAATATTAACCAGCTTTCTTGGGCCCCTCTTCCCTCCAGGGCTTTGTCCCATGATACTCCACTGAGCAGATCCCTGAAGAGGTCAAAGTCTGCTCTCCCGAAGTCCAGGGCAGTCAGTTTGCTATGCAGCCTCCTCACTG